TGAAAGAAACGTAAATCATGGTTGGCTTGTACCAGCAAAGAGTTTATAAACAATACTTTTTAAATGATGCTGAGTTCAATGTTGTCCAGAATACTGTGGGTGAAACCCATGGCCCACTTGGTTTTCTTTTGGCATTCCTATGAACTCTGGATTTTACCACTACAGGTATTTTGAAGTGACAGCTCCCATTCCCAAGCACAGGGAGTTGTCAGGGCTGTACCCTGCCTTCAAGAAAGGGAGTGCTGTAGTGGCTTGGGATGAACAGGTCACCTTGCATTGGACTTGTTTCATTTGGTTTTTAAGTCTCTATGGATTCACAGATGTAACGTCTGTTGTGAACCCAGAGAGAGCTGCATTAGAGCAGACAATGCACCAGTATATTTATTTCTTTTCAATATAATTTTGCCCACTCTATAAAGGTTGTGCTGTTTCAGCTGGATCAGGATAGTCTGTGGGAGGGTTTATGTAAGCACAAGAGTTGGGTCATCCGGATTTTGCTCTTGTCTCTTGAGTGCTTTAAGCCCATGTTGTGTCTGGTGAACTGGTTCAGTTTTTTCTGGAACTGAGCTTTATGACAGTTGAGTTTGTTCCCATCTTGAGAATTAAAGTTAATAAATACCTTACAAATGAAGCTCAGAGTCTCGATCAACCACATAAATAGCATATTGCTCAGTTTGAAGCTTAACAGCGCTGGAGAACTGTAAATTGATACAGTACATGTAGTTTCATAGTGCAGCACTTGTCAATACTCAGACATGTGTAACACCATAAATGGACAGGTCAGGGTTTTTGCCAGGCCTCTGCAACAGCCTGTGGGCAACAGCCTTCCTCTCTCCCACCCCAAAATCATTTCACTTCAGTAAGTATGCATGATGCACAAGGCAAAGTATTTATAGTGCCACCTAGCTAAATTCATGGCTGATGCTTCCTTTCATTCCTTCTTAAAATCCTGAGCAATTCTAGCAGTAGAAATTAAAAGTAATAAAGCAGACCCACTTTACAGTTGAGCAGTGAATAGGCAGGGAATGCCACAGTTAAGACTGCTTACGCAGCAGCTGGTAGACGCTAAGAGGCCATTTGGTGTGAAAAGTACCATGTAAGAGGCAATGTTAATTTTTTTTTTTAAACAGCTTTGGAAGGAGCCCACCAAGTGAAAAAAAGTAACCCAGCCTTCTCTTCTGTTGGACTGTCATTTGTGCAGAAGAGTTCACAGCAGTGGAAGCTGCTACGTCCGTAAGTGTTATGGGGAAGATGAATGGTAAGACATTGTCCTCCTGTTCCATGACACCATTAAAGGCCATTTCATCATTCAGTTTAGCAAAGGTGATGTGAGCCATTCATCCCTGTCTTCATAAGGTCATAGCAGAAACAGAAGAGACCTCAGGAGGGTCACCAGCCAGTTCTCCCATCTTAGGGTAGGATCAGCTGGTCTATTCCCAATAGCTCTAGTCTTAAAATCCTTACAGGGAGGAAGTCTGTGAAATATCAAAGCATCATCTTCCAGTTCCTTGCTAACCTGGGCATTCAAAAGCCTCCTCTCATCTATAGAGATCTGCCTTGGCTGCTGCAACTGGAGCTGGTGTCCCATCCACCACAGTGAGGGGGTATGTTCATTTTGGTAGCAGTCTCCACCTGAAGAAATATTTACTACTTTCCTTAACTGTGCCTAAGGCTTCTGGTCTGTCCTTGTAAGCCACATTTCGAAGGCCCTTAAGTTACTACTTTTACTTGCCTCTGTGTTCCTTCCACTTGATCTACCTGTTTTGTGAAAGGTACTGCCCAAACTAGAAGTTACTCCAGCTCAGGCTGCCCTGATCCCACACAGGACAGAGCGATTGTCCCATACTACACTGCCTGTGCCCCTCCTTATTCTTCCCATTCTACAGTGGTTTGCCTTTCCATTGGCAGCATGACCCTAGCGCACGTTCATCTCGTGATCACATCACACACAGATAGCTGCTAGGTTTTTCCTTCCAAATGGCACAGGTGGAGCCAACAGGGAATCCAGAAAGGGTTGTGGAGCAATCTCATCATTAAGAGTGTGTGGCTGGGAGGCAGGAATCACGGCTGCAGGCTGCATCTCTGCTGCTGGCTCACCATGTGATTGCAGCTTTCCACTTCTCTCTGCTGTACCTTGGTTTCCCAGGCTATAAAAGAGAGATAGTCGTGTCTCACATTTGTCAAGTGCATTGAGATGTGTCTATAAATGTGCAAAAAGACAGCTGATTTTTTTTTTGGGGGGAAGAGCAAAACAAGGAACATGGCTTATGAGAAATTAAACAAAACACGTGCTATTTTTTAAATTTTGTTTCATTTATTTGGCAGTAATATCCAAACCCCCCTGCTTCAAAAAAATTACAAAATCAAGTAAAATAAGTGCACTAAGGAAACCTACAGAATACTGATAAATTCCACACATGTACAGGAGGGAATACAGAGGGAGGAGTGGGACCTTTTTGTTTGTTGCTTAAATTTGGCTTTTTGGAAAAAAAAATGCTTTCCCTGCCCCTTGCAGTCTGTACAGCAACTGATCCTGAGGGTAATGGCTGTAATTCAGCACTTCCCTTCCCAGCAGCCAAGTCACCCTGCAGAAGTCAGCAACCAGCCAGCCTGCTGTGGGGTACAGTCTGTGATCGCTCACTGAACGGCGGCCCTTCCCCTCGGTGTGGCAAGGCGAGATGTTTCGGTCCCCTTTGATTACCATAGCCCTTAGAACTGGCATTGCTCTCCACAGCTGTGTCTCACTTCGAGGGGACAAGGAGTTCACTGCACTCCTACCCTGCTGCCCCAGGCTACCCTAGGATACGCTGCACGGCTTGTCCGTGGCCCAACAAGAGCTCAGCTTACCCGGCCCGAGCCAGCAGCCCATCCCACTGCCTTCAGTGCAAGCACAACTTCTGTAAACCTCAACCACTGGCACTCACCTCCCCAGCTGTCCCCAGCAGCCATCCTCGTAGAGTGCACATCCACAGGAGACAGGGACTAGAGAACGTATCACATAATGCAGCCTACAGAAGCCCTTCAGCTGTGGATTAGCCTCCCCTTCCTGCACAGGCTCTGCTTCTCCCAGTTGAAGACTTTCCTGACCAGACAGTAAGATGGTATCTCCATCCAGGGAAAGCCTCTAAGGCAAGCTGTTGTGTTTTGACTAAGGCACTTCAATGATCCAGGCTGGAAGGAAGTAAGCTGGCAGGCACAAACTACCTTTTAGAGCAGCATCGGAATAAAGCAAAATGATTATTAACAATGTTCCTGTGACTCTAGATGCAGCACGTGAAGCTGTTTCGCTCATGCTGTTGGGGTGGAGTGAGGGTATGTCTAAGGAGTGCTCCTGCTCCACCAGCCACTTCCTCCAGTGCCACCAGAACACAAACAATGACTCTGTCCCAGTGTAGCACTGTCCACACTACCCTCAGGGGAAAAGAACCAGCTCCCTTCTGTATTTATTATGCCAAAACGTCCAGGTATGGCAGGGCAGATAATGATTCTCAATGGAAAGGCAGCCCCGTGCCAAAGTCAATGGAAGTCCTCTGGCTTCACATCAGGAAAACAGCTCAAAGACCAGACAACCTTTAAGAAATCTGGCAAATGGGTAAGACCATGGGAGGGACCAAGCTTTCTTCTTTTCCTGCACTTGCTAGGTACCAGCTCATTCTTCCTCTCCAAGGAAAGCCCTGTGCAAAAAGGGGAAGGTTGGGACAAAAGTCCTGCTGATCTTCACTCAAGCAGAACATGCTTTTGCAGATGCAAGTGGAGTTTCACTTGAGTCAGCGCTAGGGACTGCAAGACACCTGAAGATAATTGCTGAAGTTGCTCACAAACAGGAAGATGGAAGTCACACGGAGACATCTATGTGCAACTGCATGGGATGCACAGCAGGGGCATGAAGGGAATGTGGAAACAGGATGTTCAAGTGTGTGAGTGTATGAAGTATGTTTGACAACTGCAGGAGAACATCAGCTGAGCTTGAGGCTACAAAGGTGATTGTCAACAAAACAGCATTTCATTCGTATCTAGGACTAATGCTCTGAGAAACAGGTCAGACAAAATGAAGGGATACGAGGGTAATCAAAGATGGTCTGATCACAGACACTGTGAAATGTGCCAGTAATGAGGCTTCCAGCCCTGACTCCAAACCCAGATCTGGAATCAAAGAATAATGCTGCTGCCTCACTCCAGAGGGAGATGGAAAGCCCAAGACGATGGCTAACAGCCCAGTCTTCAATGTAGTTAAGCATTTTAAAATACCCTACTAATGGGACTGCCTGGTCCCTCTGTCTCTCGACTACTTGGCACTCCCCTCTGGGCAATTTAGAGAGGCACGACCACGGACTTTGAGTACATGGGCAATACCAGCTAAGGGAGGAAGAGCTAGAGAGCTGCAGTGTCAATCTGTGCCTGGTGAAACTAATTACATCCAGCCCTGTCTCTTCTTCTTATGAGGGACATTGCTGTCCCCACTTGAGAAATACCCTGTAGTGCAGGGCTCACAAGTTGCTTGTGGTGTTTGCGGTGGTAGAGTGCAGCGCGATACAAACTGTGCATGGGCATTACAATAACAAGAACCCACAGGCTGGGTCTTCTTGAGATATCTAGAACTACAAAACATACAAAAGCTGAATTACTACCATAGGAAATAAAGTAATTAAAAAAACCCAAAATAAAACAAAAGGGGGAGTCAGCATGTGAATGTGGTAAGAAAAAATATGATAGCACCTCTAAGGAGGGGGCAGGGAGAGTAAGAGTGAGATGAGGTCAAAAGGAACCACACTGTGTTGGAGCCCACAATGTACTGGAGGAGCTGCTGGGGACAGTTCTGTGGAAAGCAAGGAGGAACATGCTAGACCCATGCCAGCAGCATGGCACTGCGACTCCCAGGTGTCACACCAGCTTTGAGGAACCAAAGGGGAGGGTAAGCAGGGCAAGGTCCTTGGCTAAGGATGCCCTGCAGCACACACGCTCAGCCGCAAAACTGCCGGGCCTGTATTTCTGCAGCCAAGGCCGGTGCTGGCAACTGTATCAATTGAAGACCCCCTTTTCTATCCAGCACTGACCTCTGTCCTTTCCCCAGATCCAGGGCAACGAGAAATCCTTGTCAGCTCTCGGAGGGAGCAGCTGTCTGCTCTGGGAGAGGGTCCCAGAAACTGCTGAAAGTCCCTCCCAGCCTTCCAAGGTCCCAGCAATGAAGCTCCCTGAACAGGTGGGCTCTGCTCCCCTTTCCTGGCCCCATTCTCTGTGTATTACAAAACAAATAACCCATCGCTATACAATGTAAATATCTGTGACTGGGCAACTGTAGCAGACACTTGTGCATACTGAGATCAGCGCTGGAGGACAGGGCGGCAGGTGGGGCCCATCCTCCTGGGCTCCTCCGGTGTGGAGGCCCCTTACATCTCCTTGGTGCTCATTCTCTTGGTCTTCTCGGCCGTCTCCTAGAGAAAGAGAGTACAACAGTGAAGCTCTGCTCTGACACAGGAGCTGGCAGTGCCCTGAATCCTTTGGTCCCTCCACAAGCAGTGCCAACAGTGGCTTATAACTCAAAAGCCCCACGCCTGTATTTGTTCCCACAAACAACAGGGATCCTCCTTTACTGGGCTCCCCCTTCTACCAGAAGTCTCCAAGTGACAGAAGCAGAGGAATCCCCTCTAGCGAGGAGAGACTCGGTGCAAGGACACCTTCCCTGACTCATGCTAACCTGATGCTTCTGCAGTTCCTGAACGTATCTAGCCAGCTCCTCCTCAGTCAAGTCTTGATCTGGTCGCTGTCGCCGAGAGGGCACCTTCTCATTCTTCCCTGCAAACACAAATGGAGTTCAGTGTTAACTCAAATGGGGGAGGTGTATTTCAGAGGCTGAACCATGGAGAACAAAAAGAGACAGGTTGGCCACAGCACACTTCAAGCTTAGGGAGGCTTTGCTGGAAGAAGGTATGGGCTGGCTTCTTAGAGAATGGGCCTTGTGGCTGCCTGGGACTTCAGAACCTGGGTATCCAGTCTGTTCCCATCTCTCCCTCCCACGTGATAACAAATAAAACCACAAGGAAGAGGCTGCACATTATTTAAAAGAAGCACCTATAATTAGTTCAGTATCTTGGCCTCTTGTAGGGAAGAAATGGAAGCTCAGCGCTATCCAAGTGCAGTAACCGATGTCTAATGAAGTGGTAATTTCACTCAATGGAGAAGGATCTTGCTGATGCATCTGGTCTGATCCTTTGGTTTCACTGTCCCTCTAATAATAGCCTCCAACCCCTCTGCTGCTCTGACTTGGGCAGCGAGTCAAAGAATTGTTGTCCCATTGCATGCTTCTGCCACGGATGCAGGAAGCAAAGGAGGCACTAAGACTGGGTGTTGCACAGCAACTTCAAAGGTTCTTTTTGGGGAGGCAGCAGAGTCTCTCATTCGGTTGCTTAATCTCTGACACCTAAACAAAGCTCCTCTGGCAGCTCTCTTAGTATTACAGTTATCTTTTCTGAGGTGAGTTCCTGCTGCCACAGCCACATGTGAGCTGAGGTGATCCCAAAGCCTCTGCTAAAGAAGGCCAGATAAAAATGACAGAAACTCTGCAGATACTTGTTGCTGTTCCCCTCTCTCCCACTCTGCCCAAGCTGCTGGCTATAGAGCTGAACTAATGTGCTGCTGACAACTCCAACACAGCACTGAAAACAAAGCTCATGCAAAGGCCTGGCTTCTAGGGACTAAGGCCAGAAAAATGCTGTGCAGCACTGGGAGAGTGGACACCGCTCCTTGAAAAGGGCCTGGAAAGCTGGCTTTCCACTGGCCCCAGACCATCTGTGAGAAAGCAAAATTGAAAGCCATTGTTCACGACCCCACCACGACTTCTCACAATTGTAACACGACTGTGAAAGTTTAAAAAGGACCTTCCAGAAGAAGGGCAGACCAACAACCTTGCCTTACAATGAACACGACCTCCCTTCATCTCCATTGTTATTATTTTCTTCTACCCTTTTTAAAGCAAGAAGCTAAAGTGCTTTCTTGGCATTACTGGATGAAGTCTCCTATCTCCCCTCTGTGGCGAGACAGGACGCTAACTCCTGTTTTACAGATACAGTAAATACAGATACAGGGAGGATACTGACACACATAGAGGAACCTACACCTACACGTGTGGTTGCAGACAGTGATCTCTTTGGTCTGCGTGCCCCAAGCCAGCTGGATGCAGAGTGGCTCTGGTTGGGAAGATCTGGTGCTGAATTATCATGAAACCAAATCCAAACTGCATACTACAAACTACAAACACCAGTAGCATTGCCCTCAAGCCAGTTATACACTTTCTGACCTCTAGAACCAGCTTGGGTTTGGCCAACATGGAGCATGGGAAAGTGATGCAGAAGCCATCTATAGAGAAGCTGAGGAAAAGCTAGAGAGAGAAGAAATCTGGGTAGGTGGTGTCCTCAAACAGATAGAAAGCAAAAATCCCTTTTGTATAAAACCATATACAGAAATTGTCTGGAGAGCATACAGACCCTCGCATGTCATTGCAGTGCACACCCAGTTTCCACAGGCACAGACGCAGCGGTTGCACTCCACCTGAGTCTCTGCTCCATCCTCATAGGTTTCATCTTCCAGGGCACACTCTAGAGAGGCACAAAACAAGGGCAGTGGTTGTGAGATAGCAAGCAGGCCAAAGACAACATACTTTGGAGATGCTTTGAGAGAAGAAGTACAGTTTTGGAGGTGGCCTTCCTTCCCCCTAACCACCAAAAGTTTCATAATGACTAAAACATTCATGGTGAATTTGGTGTGTGAAATCAGGCAAAACATAATTTGGGAAAGTTAAACACTTCATTTTGCTTCCTCAAAAGAACACATTTCAATTTCTCAACTCCAAAAGAAATCTCAATATTGGATTTGTTTTAATTTCCTAATCTGTTATGCATAGAAGGGAACCCTCAAAGTGAAAGTTTTGTTTACTCTGAAACAATTCCTGTTCCAAGTGGGGAGAAACTGGAGAAATGATTTGTATATTTGCTGTGGCCCTGAGAAAGGAAAAAAAAAAGTTTCTAATTTCAGCTCCCATTTCTTCTCACAGCTCTATTACATGTTTAAGCTGAGGCCCCCAAAGCACTCAAAGGCCCATATGGTGTTAAGTGAAAACCAGCTGATCGTGTTTTCTGGGGGAGGTGCCGCTTCCCTATCTTCCCACTGGAACAGGCAACAGAGAGTTCAACTTAATATTCCCTAAGAAGCACAGCCTCTGTCTGCTCCTCGGTGCCACCACAGTGGGATGTAAATTTGGCACCTTTGGACCAGCACCCCCTGAGGAGACCACCAGATGAATGGCTGGGTACGCCTGCTCAGCAGAACACTGAGCTCTGTGAACTGTAGCACTAAGCAGGATTTGGAAGGATAGTGAACTTTGAGATGTTCATCAGGGAGGCTCTCTGTGTGAAAGGCAGACCACAGCAGGACTTTGGCCTGGTCTGACTTTCCTAAATTATCCAGACGTGAACTCCTCACATGATTTATCTCCACACTGTTAAATACCTGCCTTGACCTTCCAAGCATACCATATCCACTTGACCTACGCCCTTGCTTCTAAAATCCAAAGCTTTTTAATCACAAGTGCTGTGGGAGCTCTGGTACAGAAAACGCAGCACTTCTGACAATGCAGGGACAAGGGGTGCTGTAGGATGCGAGGCAAGAGTATATCAACATTATTTCTGGGAGTGGAGTTACAGCATCCAACGTCTGGCCCAAAGGTGGGCTCTTTTCTTTCCTCCATTCCCAGGACCCCCCTGGTTCCCCAGAGCAAGTGAGGAGTTCCTACTTTTCTCTGGTGGGTTGAAGGATGGGCTGAGGCACTTCAGAAATTCATTGAAGCTGAGCTTCCAGTCGGCATTTTCATCTGACAGCTCGATGAGGGCATCTACGCACAGTCCCCTGAAAGGAAACGCAGAGGCATGTTCTGCACAGGGCTGTACTAGGCTGGCCCCTGCTCCACTGGCTTCAGAGTACAGATGAGTAAAACCAGTAATAACTAGGAAGGCTCTGAGATGTGTGGCAGAAGTGGCTTCTGTAAGGAAACCTCATTGGATACAGACAAAAGAAAAAGAGTCACTAAATACTCCCAGTCTGGCAAAGCACAGGGAAGTGGGGGGATATTCAGAACAGCAGGAGTAGGACCCTGTTGACATCTACACGCTGTCCCACAAGTAGAGATGCAAGCACAGCCTAACCACAAGCAATCTGTTCTCCTCATTATTTCACACACAGGAAAAGGGAAACTTCTCAGACTACATCTCCATGCCATGCCAGCCCTAACTGCAGGCTACCCATGAGCTGTGTTTTCCCACCATCTTCCTTGCACCAGATCTAGCTATCAGGCAAAAGGTAAGGTCCACTGGAAAGCTAATTTATTAGGGAATAAAAACAAAAATATAATTTTCTGTCACCCAACTCACCTTCTGGCTGCACACCTACTTTTTTTAAGGTAAGAGAGGGTTGGATACATGCCCAATGTGAAGGCTAGGGGTGGGACCACCCTTTTTGGTGGTATTCACACCTGATTAAGAAGCCACTTCATACACAGTTATCTTTACTAGTGCAAGTCCTAACTGGTATTTTCCATGAGTGGATTTTCATGCCCACTTCTTCCCCCCCCCCGCCCAGCCTCCTTCTGGCATCCTGCCCACCTGAGCAGCTTGTTGGTCTCCTGGTCCATGTAGGTGGTGATGTTGACAGCAGTCTCATTCTGTTCCACAAACTTCAGGAATTCAGTGGAGTCCAAGCGAGAATCACCATCGTCAAAGCTCTGTAGGTAAAGATGCGAAGATGTAAGAGTGTCTGATTTATCGGTTCAGGGTACCCTTCCCTTCTCCCTCTTCCATATGTACTTAGCATTTCTGAAGCTTTAGCGAAACAGGTTACATCATCCTTGTTTTGCACAAAGAGCAGAGGCTCAGAGAAAAGCAGCAGCATATCCATACTGGCATCCAAACTGGGAGATGTGATCCCAGCTTTGTTCTCACCAATAAGCTACACTGCCTCTTATTCACCTCCTGCTGCTTGATTTATGGCTCTAACCCCATTTCTTCTCTTTGTTCCAGCCAGCTCTTAGCCTTCTCATATACCTCCTGCCTTAAAGCAGACCAGTTGTGTTCAAGGAGGCGTCTGCTTTCCAGTATGTGTAAATCCAAAGCTGTGCCTGAACTGTGACAGTGACAAAAGGGAAAATCACAGGAAGCAATCACACCACCTCGCCACTGACTTCTTAAGGTCCTGACAGGAATCCTGGCACTGAAGAGCAGGAATTTTAGCCCCAAAATCCTGGCTGTGCTCCGAAATAAGTAATTGTATTTTGCTTTCCTGTTTGGAGAAGTCATATCACAGTGCTGGGCACTCAGAAGGAACTGCTGGACCCCCGCAGAGACAGCTGCAGTACAGCAAGGAGAAAATAAATTCTGCAGAGTGTCGGCTAATTTTTGCCGTGTGACTTGGGGCAGGCCACTGTGTCTCCTTGTGCAGTGCTTCCAGGAGTGCTGGAAGTGACACTGCCTGTTGTTACCTCCATGTGGTTCAGGAGAAACCCGTAGGGCTAGGAAGATTACTCTGTGTGCTGTAGCCTTCATATAACTACTCCACTCACATGCTTCAACAACTTCTACTAACTAGACTTCGAAGCTTCTTGTCCTGCTAGATCTTGTGAAAGCCGCCACAGTTCCCTTAATGACCCAGACTCAGCTAAGCCAGCTTTCTTGCCTTTCAATGCTATGGTCTGCATTTACGCATTCCCCCAGAGACCCTCCAAAACAGAGCAGCTTCCCACTACTGGCCTCACTCCTCTAGAAATAAGGTCCTTCAAGGTCATGGCCTGCCTGACACACAACCGACATCCCAGTGATCCACACAAGTCAGGCTTTCAGGAGGGAAACAGCTTAATGAGGCATCTACAAATCTCCTCATCAAGGAGATTTTTTCAAAAGGTAAAAGCTTCATGTCATCTTTGTCTCCAGTGTTTATTACCTGCAGGGCAGGAATCAGGCCATTCACAGGGGAGGTGTGCAGAGCCGCAAGGCTGGGCACAGCAGAATTCCTCCAGCAACAGCAGAGCCTCATTGGTGAAACAAATTCGTGTGTGTTCGAACACATTTAGTTTGCTTTGCTTGGATTTGTCCAAGTTGCTTCAAGCGCTGAATTCTGCTTTAAAAGTATTTCAGAGCTGTAAGGGCGTTGATACTGTGGATTAGCACCTGACAGAAAAGGGAATTCCCCTTTGGTCTGAGAAAAGGCACGGCTTTGTCATGGAAACTTTCACCCACTTGTGCCTAGGATCAGTGCTCCAGAAAAAGGAGGGCAGTAAAGAGAGTATGAGGATGTCTGCCTCTTGAGCTGCGACCACAGGATTTCACCAGCACACTGACAGCCATGGGGCTGGTGGGGGTGACCAGGCTGTGCAGTGGCAGTGGAGCAAGCCTGTGGCTGGCTCATACATTTCAGCAAAGCTCCTGACCTGGGGAGGCTCGGTGTGAAGATGGCTGGGGACAGCACATTTGCAGGGGGAGGGACTGAGCAGCTCTGCTCTGCAGGATGCTGCAGCTTTCGGGTGCTGGCAGGTGCCGGCGGGAGTGCCTAAGGCAGTGGGCCACAAGCGGGTTTCCACAGACGAGCAGCATTAATGGCTACAAAGGCGAAGATGCTCTCTGGAGCGAGGGGACCAGCTCCTCTGTCTCACCAGGGGATGCCATTGCCATGGCAAATTTGCTTGCAGCGCTAACTCCTGTCAGGCACCATTAATCTCTTGCTGTCAACAGTTTATGATTTAAACACTCTCCCCCTTTCCCCACCTGCTCCTCCAGCTCCATGCTGAATGCTTTGAAGTCTTTATCGGGAGCTATGCGTGAGGGGGAGGGATGCAGCAGTGCATGTGGCAGGAGCATGGGAGAAGCGTGTGATCTGCTGCATACAAAAGGGGGTGGGGATGGGCTGAGGGACAGAATGATAGGGAGGGAAGAGGAATGGGATTATTGCAGGGCCCAAGACTCATGGGCAGCTCCTCTCTCTTTGTAGAACACTAAGGAACTGCCAGGTCTGGGCCATAACTGGGCCATGCTCCTTGCAAGCAAAAGTTCTGCTTGAAGCCCCCAAGTATCCCCTATTCTCACCTCAAAATGGCCTTGGGACTGTCTGGAATGAAGGATCAGCAGTCTCTGTCCCAGCTTCTTGCTCTTTCTATCTGCATTTCCAGCACTTTCATCCATCGTTTCTCCTCTGGCTACTTTTTGTTCCCTGGGATCAGTTCTCTTCCCCACTCCCACAGGCACACCTGGCCTGCCCTCCTCCTTTTCCCCAGGGCAGGTCAGATCTCCAGGGATGCTCCAGGTCTGGCCTATCCCATAGCCTTGTCAGCAGTGCCATCAGCAGCTGCTGCAGGCAGCCCACAACAGATCACACTAGGACAAACCAGATCTCTCTGGCCCCAAGCTTGACAGGCCCATCACACAGTGGAGCCTCTTGCGTGGGAACATGGCAGCTGCTTTGCAAGTGACAGGACAAGAAATGTTCTCTGGCCTCTGAGGCAGGCATTGCTCTACTTGCCTTGAAATACTTGTCCAGGACTTCGCTGTAGTTGCTGCCCTTGGAAAACCAGCCGTCTGGGATAATCTCAGCTTCCAGCCACTGGATGACGCGGCGACGAAGCTCATCCCTGTCTGACTGGTAGCAGACGACTGTCATGGGAGAAGGTGTAGTAGAAGAAAAAGCAAGGATGAGAGAAATGAAGTTGGCAGGGACACTACAGAGAGACGACTGGAAATAAAGCCAGCCAGCCAGCTCTGATAGCAGGCTGCAGGCCCTTTGTCCTTGGAGATGGGCCACGGCCAGACCAATGCAGAGGTGCTATGTGCTGAATGGCAGATGGGCTGTGGGTGACACCGTGTGGCAAGGCCAGAAAACGACACTCTTGCCAAAAGCTTTCTGCCTTCCCATCCTTAAAGCTTGTGGAATAGCAACCCATCATGACTGATCTTGGCGCAAAATGTCTCCAAACTGAGAGAGGAAGGTGAATGCCTGCAGAACAGGCACTCGACCGTTAACCCTCAAGTACCAAAACCTCCATCCGCTGCAAGGGCAAAGACTAGACTGAGCAAGCTGCTGCATCCAAACATTTGAATTTTAGAGCCTACTATCTCAGGAGACTTTGTTTCTTCAAAGCCTTGACTTGCCCAGTCTGATAGGAAATAAGAGGGTGTCACATTGTGCTTGTTCACAGTGCTTTACAGTCACAAGTTTCTCTAGGTGAATATCACCTTGTATGCTAATACTGAACTATGCATTTAAAAGCTAAACTGAAAGCCTACATCTTCTGGCTTCCATGACTTGTCACACCCGCCCAGAGGTCAATGGAGCCAGAAGGTGCATCAGTGTGCATTTGTGCTGCTACACACATTAAGAATCTCCTTCTGAATCCATGACTACAATCACAACCAGGCAGATAGATAAAGTAAAATCTTTTGGGGTTTTGCATGCTACATGTTGAACATCCTTGAAACTTCGAGGTGGTGGCCATGCCCTGACATGGTCCTTCCCCTTAAGCCTGTACAAGAGTGTGCTCTCATCTGTGCTAGGAAGCTGAAGTTGACGATTATATAGCTCCAGCAGTTAAAGGCCATGGATGGGAAAAGGGTCCCCTTGTGAAGCAAAGGCCAGTGCCCAAAATTCATGGTCTTAAGTACATAAGGCAATGCATAGAGGAGAAACCAGGCACAGGGAATCAGAGCCTTGCTGGCTGATGGGAGAGGTGGTCCAGCTACACCTCCTGACTTTCCATTCATTTCACAGTGCTACCTCTCTGCCCCTTGTGCCCATCACTTAATCACTCTTGAAGAAAAGTCTCCTTTCAAAAGAGTGCTCTTGGAGTTGAGGACATAGCTGCACAGTTATTGTGTCTTAGATCCCCATGAACTATGCAAAAGTCTCTTCCCTCAGTCTGTGTGACAAACACAGATTGTGTCCCTAGGGGCAAACTGGGTTTCATTTCACTTTGTACATGCTCAGAGTCCCTGAGACAGTGGAGAGCCCAGGAGATGTATGAGCTCTGAAAGGTTACACAGGAGTAAAGAGCTGGGCAATAGTATTTCAGCTGATTTATCAACTCTGACTCTGCTACAGCCAGTGCAGAGGTATGACTTTTACACAGACTTCTGTTTTCCTGAATGCATACAGAGGCCCAGGGCATGCAAAGAGAGGGCTTCTTACCTGGACTTGCAGCTGGATTCTCAGACTTCTTCTCTGTTAACGGAAAGAAAGAAGAGGATATTTCTGATGCATGATGAAGCAATACAAACCTCTTCCCACCCTGGGTGCCACTTGGGCAAGAGCAGAGGAACCTGAGAGTCTTTGGAAACACGAGGGTCACATATGTGATTAAGAGACTGGAACATCTGTCCCCCCGAGAGGAGACTGAGGACTGCTTAGCCTGAAAAAGAGAATGCTCAGGAGCAATCTCATAAATGTTTAGAAATCTGATGGGAGGCAATGAAGAAGTCTAAGCCAGACTCTTCTTTGTGGTGCCCAATGACAGGGCACGAGGCAGTGGGCACATACTTAAACACATGAAATTCTGTCTGAACATAAGGAAACACTTTTTTACTGTGCAGCTAGTGTGGGGATGAGTTAAACAGCCCCACTGTTGAGGCAGAATCCTTGCTCCTGAAGTTTTTGAGGTCCCTCACGAACATGGATGGTAGTATGGGCTTTGGGGCTTTATCATGAGAGATCTCCCTGGCTGAGGTATCTGTCTGGCTGAATCCACATCTCAGAGAGAGGCAGACAGGAGCAGGAAGTTGCACCTGTTCTCCTGAGTGCCCCTCTCCCAGCAAACCAGGGAGACAACAGCTCCAAGATCTCACCACGGCCAAGGTGTCCCGAGTGGGACAAGGTCCTGGCTAGTGAGGCCTCTCCTTTGCCTTATTATCATGCTTGGTTGCCGACTCTCCCTTCCTTAGAGAGTAGCTGGCCCTCAACGTTGGGGTTACCTTTACAGTGGCCATCATAATCCACCTGGATCTTGGAGCCAGTGAGGCAGGCATCACGGTGCAGCTCACAGTGGTTCAGGTACGTCTTGCCATTGCTACCACACACAGGCCTCTTGTGAGGTTTGCATTGCTGTGAGAGAGACAGAGAAGACAGCATTTTGACTGTGTCTTCAGGCCAGCTAGAGAAAGGCAGGTGAGTCCCAGCATCCACCCAACTTAACACAAGATCTTGGCACAGTCCCCTTGGCCCAAAAGGTATTTGGAACAGGCTGAACCCACCCACCATCACCTCAGAAAAACCTGCACAGGGAAGTCTGTGGGTGTGGGTTCAAACACTTTATACCAGCCTCTGTCACCACCACCACCACCACCACCACAGAAGCCTTCTTGAAAGCAGAGCCCAGCAAAGAAACCAGTTCCCAGCATAAATATTGAGTGAAATCCTGCAACTGCTGCTGTATATGCTATGGATATGCCTGCTCAGAGGCACTTCTGCGAATCTCTTCTTTGCACCTCTGCTTGCTCAACTCTGTAGACTCTGCTCCACCTTTCCACAACCAAATGCAGAATAAACCATCAGCCATGAGCAAACAGCACAGGGAGAGTTCACCAGTGTCACTGTTCAGGCTGTGGGCTTCTTTCTCCTGTCCCTTTCAGTGTGGCCAAGCCTACCCTGAGTGACAGACACTCTTCCTGCTAATAGGACATTTCACTCTCCAGTGTCCAGGCTGATAGCATCAGAGCTGCAGGCTCTGAGGGAAGTGGGAACAGAGAGCCCATTCCCAGGAGCCAGGCAGGAATGGTTTGAAAGCACAGGGCAGAGCAGAGTAGGGAGACACTGTGTCTCTGCAGCTGGGAAACACTCTTCTAATCATCTCTGGCTCCCTGCTGGATGGAGCTATTCATCCTCACAGCACTCTACCACAATTATTTCCATTTTACAAAAGCTGATTTTTAGTAGGGTGCTTGTAACCTCCTCAAACAAGATGCCAGTGAGGGCAGCCTCACAAACCACTCCCTAGAGTGCCCTCCAAAGCCAGCTGCATATCAATACCCTCCTGGGCCTTCCCAACAAAAGACCTCCAGCCGAGTCTCCTGTGTGCTGTAAAGACAGGAGGCAGTTGTGTGAGCAGCACAGCTGCAAGTCCAGGACAATATCTACCCTACAGGGCTCTTTCCCCATGCCACACTGGGAAAGGCCCTGCTGTTTGAAGAGCCTCTGTGAACTTGCAGCTGCTTCAAAACAGCCGTAGCCTCATCCCATCATGGGATCCTTCCAGTGACCGAAACCCAGCCAGGGGGTGATGGTGGTGACACCTGTCCCAGATGCAGAACCTGTGCTGTCCCATACCTCAATGCAGAGGCAGGTTGGCTCTCCCTTCTCAGTCACTGCACACTCCCGTCCAGCTCCGCAGAAAACATTGGCACAGATCTTGGATTTGCTTCTTGGCTCTTCCTGCAAGATTCAAAGTAAGAGACACAAAATACACCAAGTTACCCAGAAGAGCAGCAACACAGCCTTAAAAAACCAACACATTTAACATGTAGATCAGACCAAAGAGCACCAAGGTGGTAAGACACAGATTACAGAACAAGAGAGATGTGACTGCAATGGATGGACAGCTCAGACAGTCACCAGGAGCAGACACAAGAGCTAGGGCTACAGCCCCAGCAACAGAGGGCTTCCTTGAGGCCATTCCCATAAAACTGCCTAGGAGCAAAGACAAGCAAGAGAAAGTCTAGCACAAATGGCAAGAATAATTCGCTCATGTCAAGGACTGCTGTCTTCAAAATTTTTTCATGGAGTATAGGGAGCAGAAATGTCTTTGCTTGAGGCATTTAAGAAGAAGGTGAACATAACCCTGGAGAAAGGCACAATACCAAACAGAGGGATCACCATCAGGCACTAGATAATGCCCCTGTTGCAAAAAAACTTCACAAAACTACACGACCTATTATCTTGCCTCCACTGGCCAAGATTAAACATTTCAAAGGAAAAAACATTGTCATAGATAATTATACAGTAACCTTCTCACAGAGAAAATCTCTCCCTGGTCCCTGACAGCCAGCAGTTGACTTACGCCCTAAGCACAGTTTATACACTTTACAGTTTTCTCCTAGCCAAAGTCATCACAAGTATTCATGTTGTTCGTGTAACTGTCAAATCCTTCTTTGGAGTACCACTGCATTCCCAAACTGGTGACACCTAGCAGGAAATATTTTCACAGGTTAATCATGTTTTCAATAAAACCACCATTTACTTTTATCAGTTTAATGCCTTTTTTTTCCTTTGACTTTCAAAAGAGAAGGTGGTTCCAGGGGTTCAGACTTTGAAGACTTTGGTTTAATTCCCTGGTTCGTCATTAATTTCCTTTGTGACCCTCTTTTCATCTAACATTTTCCACCTGTACACTCAGGATGTGCTTCAGGCTGGTCAACTGGCCTCCTCAGCAGTTTTGTATCAGACAGAAGACTGGGGAATGTAAAATAATCAGTGGGATAGGTCAATCACATCTGCTGTGATTCTTCTCTCTAATACACAAAGTTGGGGGTTTTTTTACCTTCTCATCTGACTATTATAATTAACCTCTCTTCATTTATGGTATCTTTGTGCCTTGATTGTATACTTTTGAAAGCAGGTGATCAAAAAGGAGCAGAAATTGCCTGAGGAGCAAGCATTATTGATACACATAACGACAAATGCTGAGCACATTTTTTCTCCTGTTGCCTCCTTATCCTAATTTTCCTTTTTTTTAGAAACTATGACTTAAGAGTGAGTTGCTGTCTTTACCGAACAGCCCACAGTGACCGCCAGATCATTTTCTGAATGACCTGGTCTTCAGAATATTTTGTCTGCTGGCCTACTACACAGTCACCAAGCCCAAGAAGGTCTTTTCAAAGCACTACAGGATTCCCTCCAGATTCACATAGCGACAAACACCCTTCCTACTCTCTGTAAATGTTCCTATCATGCTGCTTATCCTGTAAAATAAAAATACAGTATTCAGACACATCAGTCTTAGCTCAGAAATGTGCAGTGTCCTAGGCCTGCTCACCCCATGAAGACAGTCTATTATCCTCCCTCTGCCCCTTCTGCTGCATCCACCTCTCCATAGTTGCCTTCAGGTGGAGGAGCAGGGGTAAATTTTTTAAGCGCTTCTGGGGTGGGATGGAGCAACATAAGTCCTTCACTGCACAGAGCAACCGCTCACAACTTAGGACAGGAAAGGAAGAGTAACTCATTTTGCAAGGAGGACAAAGAAAAACCAAATTCTCCCAGGCTAGAGTCCGGCTGGGGCAGTCCCACACCTAAAATGTGCTGTAGGCACCTAAGTGACCATCTGTTTAAAGGATTTCAAACAACGTGCCCACCTCTTCACCCAAAAAAAGATCAGAAAATAAAGAGCCAGCCATGACTTTGAACTGCCACCACTCAAGGTCTGTACTCCAGGTGCCTGGCAATAGATGGCAGTACTCTGCCTCTCCTTCCCCATGACCAGGCAGGACTGTCAGCAGCAAGCTCCCAGCTGTGCCCACCAATGCCAAGCCTGGCTCTTGCTTCCTGGCCTGAGACTTACAGCACTGCTAAAACCACAGCTGGCCTCAGCAGGTGTCCCCAGGGACCAGACTTGGGTTGTAAGATGACTTTTCCCTCAACAGCTTGCTGGAAACCTGGCCTGTGACACAGCTGTCCTGGCCACAGCTCTCTCCCTGTACCGCTCAAGTCCAGGAGCCAACCCACAGCTCTCCCACTGGGACCTGGGGTGGGGATGCTGGCAGGGTGACACCACCAGAACGGCCTCCTGCCAGGCTAGAGGGCAAAGTTACTCTGATTTTTTTCTTACTAATCAAAGCAATACAGTTTGCCAGCTTCTTCTTTCAGTTGTTTTAAGCTGTCCTAGGCTGGCAGCAGGTTGGAGCTGGTTGCCACGTCCCGGCATGGCTGCCTCCACCCCAGGGATGTGCCAGAGAAAGGAAGGAAACAAGCTGCTCTGCCTGCCCTTTCACTCCAGCACAGGGTTTCTCAGACTCAGCTTGCTCACCCTCCCTTCCAGCAGTAGCAGCTGTGGCAGGAGTTCCCAGGCTGGGAACTGGGAATGGCTCCACCTTCAGTGAAAACAGCTCTCAGCTTCCACCCCAGTTTCCAGACCAGTAACTTAGACCCCTGTGCCCCACATCCTTGCAATGCTCATTCCACAAACCTTATTCTCCAACTACAACAAATCACAGCACCTTCTACTCCTATGCCCCAGTCCCAAAACCTCCAAGCCTCTCATATTTCCTTCCTTCACCAGACATCACCTCTGCTACCCTACATCTACCCACCCTGCACCTGCAACCTGACCCATTGCGGCTGCTTTGCCCGTCGAGGTGTGCTCCTCTGCCAGGCCTTAGCAGCTGTGCCTGCAGACCCTGCCTTCACCTCCTGCAAGAGCCAGAAATGTTTTCCTCCACCAGCCTGCACACAGACGAAGGTAGCAATTGCTACCACTATCGCTAGGTATGGTGACACAGCCCTTAAATGGTTCAGGGTTGGAGCTCTCTCTACCAGCTCCCAGCTGCCTACCCAGCAAATGCCCGAGACTCCTGTGCCTAACTGGGAGTGTAATGGAGATGACAGTGGAGGAACGAACAAGTACGGTGGGGTTCTGCAAATGAGGCTTTAAAATCTTCACTCCTGATTCTCTGATGACCTTCCAGATACTACCAGACAAACTAGTTTCTTGTGACAGATATTCTGATTTTACTTTGGACCTTGTCATGTTTGTTCTTTATAAAGCCCCATGCGCTGAAGTCATGTAAGTAAGTGGGGATGGCAGCTGCCACTTCCGTATTAAATAGCTCATCCTCACACCTACCACATAAAAGCTTGAGGAATGTGAACTGAAAAGGTTTAAATGCAAGGTCATGCACAAAAAAGACTCCACAGTGTTTAAATGTCATTGCCCTTAAATTAATTTCAGGATTTGGGGGCTGGAATCATGGTTTTTACACTGCTTCCACCTTGTGAGCTGCCATTGCCTTTTCTGTCACCGTGGGCTTGGGAAGCGTCACTCATCGCTGTGCACAGTGCGCTCGGGCAGGCGGAAGGGAAAGGGCAGAGAGTCGTTAGTAATTGCTGCACGGTGGCACTTACACCGCAAGCCATGACAAGGCAGTTCCCCTCTCCTGCCTCGGCTGAGAAGCCCAAGCTCTCTCCACTCAGGCAATGCTTTTAATTACTCCTCTGCTGCCCAGAGACCAAGTGGGAAGGTATAAAAGTGGTGGGCAGGAACCCAGAGCAGGAGCACCTGGACTCTGAGCATTGGCCATGGCACAGGTGCACTCATGACTCTTCACCCCATGGCCTCTTCAGGGACACAACCTCCTCAGACATCTTCTCAGGCAAAGACTGTGGAGAAAGGTGTTTGCCATGGGCTCGTGGGCCAGAAACCCAGGGCAGCCTGGCAGCATCACCATCGTGTTCTCATAGCCCACACTGTCTGCTGAATGGGGACAGGGATGCATGCCGCTTTCGGGGGCTTGGGAAGCGTAACCTCATGGACGAAGGGTTCTTGCACGCAAACGGGCAAGCACTAAGCAGAAGACCTGAGCTGACGGTGCGGCAAGCCCCAGGCACTGCTTCTGCCTCAGCTGTCGCTTCCTGGGGAGCAAGGAGGAAAAAGAGACATTTCCAAGGCACCCACGGGTGAGAAGGCTCGAGGCAGCATCCGACAGTGAGGGATCACCATGGCAACCAGTAATGCAGGGCCTCAAGGTAGAGAGCTAAAATTAGGCAGTGGAAAGGGCCATTTCTCATCTCTAGCAGCAACTGGTACTGAGAAGTCGGACCCCCAGCACAGCATAAGCACTTGTGTCGGGAGCTCTTCTAAGTCCTTGCCTGTGCTCGGATGGTTGGGGCCAAGCACGGCTTGACGTGCCGACACACGGTGCCACGTGTGGTACAGCACAGGTCCCTGCAGGGGCCCCAGAGTGGCTGTGCCTGCTCCATGCTGGTGAGACCACACCAAAACGCAGTGACTGCACGCACAAAGGGAAAGAAGCATCATAGACCCTTGGGTTTGGAAAGGACCTGCTCACTGCTCACTCCCTCCCCTGGCCCATGCTGAGCCACAACTGCCTGGTGTCACTTGGTGGAAATGGGGACCTGCCCAAGCAGCCTGTGAAAACTGAAACCAGTAACAGTTCAGTGACAAAACACCTCTGTAAGGAAGAACGAGCTTTCACCTGCAGAGAAGAGCTGTGCAAACATCAGCACATCCATGGTTCCCCACTGCCCAAAGGGAGAAGCAGGGATTTCTGTCATTACGCATGCTCTGGGAAATGAGCAGGGAGACTGTCCTGCTACGAGGTAGGGAGTTAATGTGCTTGAAAACAACCCCTCAGATTGCTTTTTGTTTTCTGCACATCCTTCCATACAAAATCTCCTCTTGGAGATCTCAAAAGCCTTTTTCT